GCTTCCACCAAACATTGGTGGTTAGAACACAATAAACCATCAATTCAATTTATAGCCTCCTTTACTGATTAAGCGCTCGATGTATTGAAACACAAACAATGTTTTTGGGACCTTAATCACTCTCAAAACCGTGATATATACTAATGCGTAAACAATTACAAGAGTGGTTCAAATGGCCAATAAATACCATCACAGCCACGCAATACAACTGTAACTTGAGGGAGAACTCCTGCTTCAATCCATTTATTATTATTGTTATTATTATTATTATCGTTATTAATATTATTATTATTATTATTAATATCTGTTTTATTTACTTATTTATATATCTATTTATTGTAATTTTTTTTACATCAGCTCAATTAACCTCAACCAAAATACCAAAATTCTAGGCTAATCAGACAAATTGCCGTGACACAAAAATTAATCGCTCTGAAAACTGCATTATATTAAACACACTACATATCTAGTTGTTCTTTCGAATGGCCAATACAATTGTGACTAAACAACATAGAATTGAATGAAGAACCTATCGAGCCTATTCGCCCTCTTTATCTAAACTTGAGTATACGTATTTTTGTTAAGCTATCAATGGCCTGCATCTATTACAATGTCGAAATACAGAACCATTTTGATATAAATCGAGACCCTAGTTTAGTTATAGTATTTTCTCCCTAAAACCACAGAGACGTAAAAAGCAAAGTTTTGGGCTTTTATCGTAAGGAAAATGTGTATCGTAGTGAAGCTAAGCTGAAAGGGACTAAAAAAAGACGTAAGAAGGAGGGGACAATTACCTTAGCCCTGCGACAAAATAATTAAAATGTCTATCCTTTAAAAAGCCAAGATACAGGGAAAATACTAATCTCATGTCGTGGAGGTTTTTGTTTGGCAAGAAGAAGTTTTTTAAGCATACCTGTACTTTTCAGAGAACTCGATCTATTTAATGTCCCATTATGTTTGAAAAAACAAAGAGAAACAAACGAGAATACCTTAGGGTACTACAAGGTCACTTTTACTGAGATTCCCCTTTTTATCAGCCAAAAGAGAAATATCATACTGATCTTAGGTGATAGGGCAAATTTATAAGTAAAGTTCGTCATAAAAACAAACGTTTGTTCTGTTTGCACTTTGGCTGACCGCTGTGGTGAAACAGCTCTAGGCTCGAGATCCTGTGTCACAGCGGATTTCGACCCTCGGTCCAAATCCGC